TCTCTCTTGGGAACATGCAGAATAACACCTGAAGCCTTGTGTTATGAAAACATGTTTCCAGGCTTTGGCAAAGAGCTTGGGTCCTCTGTTTCCTGTCCTGCCATTCTGTGTCTCTCCGGTTGATTCTGTCCCTGAGCCTGGGCTTAGATGTTTGGTTTTGTAAAGGTGTCCCAGCTAATTTGATAGCTAGTCAGGTCTGAGGACCCTAGAGCATCAATCCAGGTTCTACTCCCACTTTCCAGTTTTGAGTGCTGGGACCCAGAGGGATTGGTTAATCTGGATAGCTCCCTGGTCAGCAATTTGGAGAGCCTTACTTGAGACCACTGTTGGCAGCTACTGTGTCTCTGCTATGATGGAATATAGAGGTGGTAATGGGGGAGCTGGCTTTAACATGAGTAGACCCTGGGGCCACACCTCCACCGAGTTGTATAATGATTTTTTGTTTTGTTTTTTTTAACTAATCACCTCTGTGTGTCCAAAGACTGAAGACAAAAGACATCTAGAGTTTTCATTACAAAGGAAAATGCTTTTGAACCCTCACCTACCCCCTTGCTCTTGACAAATATTTGGCCAGCGGGGTCCTGAAGTCAGGCCTGAGAGGAGTGCTCCCTGCCCAGGAGTGACTTATCTCTGGGGTGTGGGTGCCCGTGCTTGCTCTCTCTGTTTGCCCTCTGTACGGCCTGAAGGTGGAGTGGGGTGTAAACAGGCTTGGGCCCCCGTGATTCATACTGAATATCAGGTCTCCATGGCTCACCCTTCCAGCGGCCCAGCTTCTGCCGTCCCTTCCTCCCACATGGTGCCCGGCTTCCCCACCCTCTGGGGCTGAAAAGGGTGGCAGCGTCCCTTCCTGTGGCATTCCCTGGCCTCCCACCAGAGCAGCACACCCTGGCCCCATGTCTGCCTTGACCAGCTAGGTCTACCTTTCCCTCTGAGGCACCTCTGAAGCCATCCTGCAGGCCAGCTACCTCACCTCCTCAGAGCCAGCTTTTAGGCTTCATTTAGGCCAGAAAGAGTAGCCTAAGCTATGTCCAGTTCAGATGCAGGTTGTTCCCCCCCCCCCAAATATTTGCATTGTAGTTTTTGAGACATTGTCACACTCCGTAGTTCAGTCTGGCTTCAAACTCCTAAGCCTTCCTCAGCTTCCGGAGTGCTGGGGCTACAGGTATCCACCACCATGCCTGGAGTTTCCAAACATTTTTAAATCTGCAATTGGTCAAATCCATGGATGTGGAGGCCTTCACACACCACAGCAGCTGCAGCTGTCAATGAGGAGCTTCTGCACCATAACTGACGCAAGCAAAGGGTTGCTCCCCAACGCAGAAGTCCCTGAGGAAGCCAAGCTGTAGAGGCACTGTCTGGAAATACACTCTCCTTGGCTCTGTTCCTCTCATGTTCCCCTCATCCTCCTTATCTTCTCAAGGGGGCTGTGAGCCTTTCTGCCACCTCCTCATACTCCCTCTGACCCTATTCAGCCACCAGCACAGCACAGATTCCTCCTCGCCCCCATCCTGGCTCCATCCCAGAACCATACAGCCCTGCATTCCATTCCCCACACTGTTAAACCTAAGCCAGGCAGTGAGGGGTACAGGGAAGACCTATTGCCAGACAGGAAGACAAGTGCCAGGGTTTATAAGGATATCTTCAACGTTACCCGCCCCCAATCTGAGGTGTAACACAAACAGGAGACTGATGGAGGGCTGTCCCTAGGTGTCTCATAAATCCTGATGGTGTTTGGTGAGCTCACAGATGCGCACCATCATCACCACAGCCATCATCACTCATCCTAGGAGCCAGCGGCTCTCTGACACCTCACAAGGGACAGGTGGGGACTGTGGTAGCACAGGTGTTTGCTAGGGTCCTCCAGGAAGCGCAGTGTTCACCTTGAAATCATTATGCTAAGTATGAACATAGACGGCTAATGGTTATAGAGTTTTGAGTTTATGAAGTGATCTGAATTTGGCTTTGAGAATGTAGTTTGTATTTACAAATCTATTAAACATGAAGTGTGAGTCTTCAGTGCATGAATCATATCCTATATGAGTTATATCTCATTAACCGTGTGTGTGTGTGTGGTGTGTGTTTGGGGGGTTGTTTTTGGTTTTGTTTGTCTTTTGTTTTGTTTTTTTGAGACAAGGTTCCCTCTGTGTAGTTCTAGCTGTATTAGAGCTCACTCTGTAGACCAGGCTGGCCTCTAACTCACAGACATCCGCCTGCCTCTGCCTCCCAAGTGCTGGGATTAAAGGTGAGCACCACCACCACCCAGCTCATTAATGATGTTTTAAGGAGAGCTGGACATGATGATTTGAATCTGAAATCCCAGCACTCCGAGAGCAGTGACGGGACTGACATGGGTTGGAGGCCAGCTGAAGTTACTTACTCCAGGCTAGCCTGGGCTACATACAGTGAAAGACCCTGCCTCAAAAACTGAACAAAGAGAAAGGAAGGAAGGAAGGGAGGGAGGCAAATGGAGAGAACTTTCTCCCAGTACCTCACTGTGAAATGTAGTGGGAGGGGGCTACTCATTTGGCCAGTTGGCTCTAACTTCTTATTGGCTAACTCTTATATCTGAATTTAACCCATTTCAAGGAATCTGTGCATCACCACAAGGTTGGGGCCTACCAGAAAAGTTTTAGCACGTCTGTCTCACTGGTTCCATGACTTCTCTCTGATTCCGCCCTTCTTTCTCCCAGCATTCAGCCTAGCTTTCCCTGCCTACCTAAGTCCTGCCTTACTATAGGTCCAAAGCAGTTTCTTTATTCATTAATGGTAATCACAGCACACAGAGGGGGCTCCCTCATCAGTGAGATCTACTACTGTTTACACCATTCAATGGGTTGGGGGACCACCTAATCTTCAAAAGTGTGGGTTTGCTGGGTGATATACCCAGAGGCAGGTCCTGAGGTCTGTCAGGGGCTAGAGATTGGATTTGGGTATAGAATGGGTTTTGTTCACTGGACAATTGTGGACAAGGGTTCTGACTGGACCCCATGAATATCTCTCTCTCTCTCTCTCTCTCTCTCTCTCTCTCTCTCTCTGTGTGTGTGTGTGTGTGTGTGGTGTGTGTATCTTGGGCAGATTAATGAAAGGCACTCACTCAAACAGCCTGATTCAGTCAGACATGCACCAGAAGTTAAGAGCTAGCTCAGTGCTAGCATCTAGCCTTGGCAAACCCTGTGCTATTTCACTCTGACTTGCCTGTTGCCCCACCTTTGACTCCTGACCACCCCATAGGAGAGAACAGAATTGAAAGAGGTTATATAAGATGCATAAAGTACAACCTGTACTCCTGAAGACCAGGAACTGAAAGTCATCTCAAAGTCTTCCATTTGCAGGTGACAATGGGCTAGCTTAACTTACGCATTTTACAGCTTGTTTGTGCTGAAAGTAATGATGCAGCCACAGTAACTAAAGCAGTCATTGCCTAGCCCACCTTTGCTGACTGTGCGCGGAGGGAATCCTGAAATGCCTTGATCCACTCAGCCCTTTGGGTAGAGGGTGGCTGGGTGGAAGTTGGGGCAGATGGTTTCCCCTGGCAACCTTTCACGAGAGCCAGCTTCTGTGATCAAGGCAGACTTCATTCCCACAACCTCATGATCAGACATACTGCCTTTTACCTCTGGCCAGATGTCTTTTGTTGGGGCCACAGGCTGCAGAGTTATACAGAATTCCCTTGCAGCACGCAGACAAGCCACCTGACTTAGACTGACCCTGGACGACTATGCACAGACCAGACCCCAGAGCAAGGACACATGCTAATGCTTGTCTCTGACTGGATAAACAGACCCAACGGACTTCTGCATTTCTCCGTGCCTATCCTCATACCTCCTAAAAGCAGGTGCTATTCAACCCGCAGCACAAAGGAGTGTCACCTGCCCTCAGCCCCAGCCACTCAGGAGGAAGTGCCCTGCCCTCCCACACTGCTTTCCAGACTTTTCCAGATTGTAGAGCCATCTCCCTAGGTGCCAGTCCTGTCCTCATCTAGAGTGGGTACATGAAGCTTGGATGGAAGAGAGTCAGAGAGAACTAGAGAAAATCTCAGTGAGGCCTGTTTGGCTGGATCATCCAGGGGACTTCTGGAACCTCTTTTGTTCCCCTCTGAGAAAGGGAACTCTCCAACCCTGGGGACATCCATGTATCTCTGGCTTCTCTCGCACCTGTATCCGCCATCTGAGAAAACCAGGCTAGCCTGTGACCTCTCCATTTCTAGTTCAACTAGTCAGAAAAGTTCCTACACTTGGGGATCTAAAAATAAAAATGTCAATATCATAATGCAGCTAGTATATTCACCCATTAATAACCTAAGAACATCTCTTAGTGGTTACAGTCTCTTTTTTCCTGTGGCTAGGGATTGAATCCAGGGCCTTGCAGCGGCTAGACAAGTGACCTCTACCACTTAGCTACATCTCCAACCCTTGATCTTCTGATACAGGGTCTCATGGTGTAGTTTAGGCTGGCCGAAAACTTACTGTTAGCCCCGGCTGGCCTTGTGCTTGCTAGTCTCCTCCCTCTACCTCTCCAGCGCCGGTCTTGGAGTCCTGTACTGTCTGTCACTCCCGGATGGTTGCTTACTGTTTGATAACATAAAAGATATTCCAATAGCAACGCCATTGAGAAGAATAGACACTCAGAAGAAAGGGTAGCCATTCTAATGCTAATACTAAATAATGGGAGTTCTTCCATTGGTGAGTTCCTTTGCTTTCCCGCGCCTCAGTTATCCCATTCCTCACCCATAGCTCTGTTACTGGAGTTAACCAAGTTAATATTTGTCAAGGTGCTTAAGACAATGCCCAGGTGTATTACAATGTTTATTAAATAAAAAATGAAAATTGTACTTAAGAAATGAAACAAAGTAAGCCAGAGGCAATGGCAACGCTGAGATTGGAGCCCTAGCTTGCAGCTTTGGAAGATAAAAGAGATATTTTTGCCACCCTCTTTGTCCCCTTCTGGGTATTTGTAGCCCCAGTGTCCCTGCTCCAATACTCTCTGTCTCCTCCCTGCAGGTCTTTGGAGGCCTGGTATGGATCCTGATTGCCTCCTCCCTGGTGCCCATTCCCCTGATCCAGGGCTGGGTGATGTTCGTGTCTGTATTTTGCTTCGTGGCCACTACTTCCCTGATGGTCATGTATGTATTTGGTACTCACAGCGGCGAGACTTCCTGGATCACACTGGTGAGTGATGGCCCAGGGAATTTGTGTCGGGGGAGGGAGGTGGTGCTGGACCCTCATCTCTGGAAAGACTACTTTTCCAACCCTGAGTGAGGCTTCCCTGGAAACATTTTTCAGCACAACCCAAAGCTGAGCTGTCCTGACCTCGGTTTAGACTCTTCCTAGCAGTAACCGCCTCCTGCACTGAGGAAGTCGGAAAAGAGAGCAGGATCCATGTGTTTGCTGCAGATTCTCATGGGGCGCTCTGATTTCTTATCTGCGCTTGCCTTTTCACACACAGCCGGCAGCCCGTCCCCACCCACCCACAGGCACCTGATAGCTGTCAAGCTACTCCCACCATCCAAGGGGCTGTCACCTCCTTGGGGAGCAGAGTCCTAGAGCCTGGGCCTAAGCTGATGGCTCCCTAGTGACCAGACTGTGCTTTCTGCCTGCCTGCCTGGTGACCACCATCTAAACATGCCTTCTAGACGACTCGGGTGCCAAGATGGCCTGTGTTCTTTCTTTTGTACTAAGTTCTGCTTTGAGGAGCTGGAAACAGGCCTCAGATAAATATAAGGGGGACTTGCTTGTTATTAATTAAATGAGGGTTCAGGCCACTTGGCTAGATCTCTACTTCTCCACAGCCTTTCTACTTGAACTTTTGAAATCACTTCAACCACACTGAACTTTGTTTTAGTTCCTTTTCGCTTTGAAATATTCCAGGAGCCAAGATAAATAACTAAGACCAACACAACAAAATGGGAACAAGGGAAATGGCCCAGGCTTCTCTTTCCCCAGACTGGACAAAGAGCCCACATGCAAGCCAGGACTTTAACCATGTGTGGTTGATCCTGGGGTCCAGAACCAGTTTCTATCTGTTACCCTGTATTTGTTATGTTTCTTGTTGCTATATCTCACAGTTTGTGGGTACAGTCATCTTGATGGGGAAGGGTTAGCTGCAGAAGTGAGGTGCTAATCACATTGGTCAGTAATCAGAGAGCAGGAGGGCGACTGCTTGTGCATGGCCAGCTTTCTCTTCCGTATTCAGTCTGGGACCCCAGCCTATGGGATGGTACCGCTCGTATTCAGGGTGAGTCATCCACGTCAGTTCAGCCTCTGTGGAAACACCCTCCAGAACACACCCAGAGGTGTCTCAGAGAAGATTCTAATCTTGTGTCAAATTAATAATAAGAGTAACCAGCATACACCCCAGACTCCCTTGGTAGTACCTCAGGGTCAACAGCATCTTCTTCCACTAAAAGACTCACTGTGGGACCTGCCCAAGGAAAAGAAGCTCAGTTCAGTAGCCGTCAAATCCTGAGAGAAGCTGGTGGACTTAGGGGCTATGGTGTGGTTCGAAGGAAGTCTGGAACAAAGATGGAAGCAGGGAATTCAAGGTCTATGCCTCCGTGTCTGGAGTGGAGCGTCTCTTTCCTCTCATCTCTGACATAGCCCTTCTCACCCTCAGGATGCAGCCTACCACTGTGTGGCGGCCCTGTTTTACCTCAGCGCCTCAGTTCTGGAAGCCCTGGCCACCATCACAATGTACGATGGTTTCACCTACAAGCAGTACCATGAAAACATCTCAGCAGTGGTAAGTTCCCTGCAACCCTGCGCCCGCAGTGCCCAAAACAAGCGGCTCTCCTTGCCTGCTGCAGACGCTTCAGGTGGAGGGCGACCCAGCCCACGCCTCTCTTGAATGAAGTCGAACCTGCCCCTCATTTGTGAAGCAGTGACGCCCCTATGAAGGGCAGGGACGGGCCACGGCTCCCTTAGTTGGTTTCTCAGGGCCAAGGTTCAGTAGGCACAGGGGCTCCTGATAGACTGGCTGTGTATGGGCAGATATGATCTCATTTGACCCTCACAATAATCCTAGGGGGGCCAGTGTCATTGTCACGCCCATCTCACAGAGGGAGAGGCAGCCTGGACTCTTTCCCAAGATTGGCAAGTGTCAAAGTCGGGGTCTTGGCCACCGTGCTTGCTTTCAGTACCAGTTTCAGGCTGTGAGTCTGGTCACTTGGGTCTTGTGACCTCCTCGAGTGTTGTCCACAGAGGCATAGAGTCAACACAAGGAACACTGAGGCCAGGGTGGGTTTCTTTTTCATCGGCTAGATCCGTATGACAAGGAGTAAGAGATTGCATCGTTTTAGAAAGATGTTTTGTTTTGAGGAAGATGTTTTTCTGAGTGGTACCCTTGGAGGAATGTATTGGGTGCTTTTACTCAGAGTCCTTAATATAAAACTTACTTCTAACTATGAGTGACATTAAAAATGAGTTAGAAATAGTGCTTCTCAGGTCTCTAGAAACTGACTTGTGATTCATGCAAACTCCAAAGTGGAATGAACTAACAAGATGCCTGAACCTGTCATTTGCTGGAAAATGGGAAGGTGGCTGAACGCAGTCTACAGGGATGTGTTGGACAGCATGGTTCTTCCTTAATCTAGAGGGGGTGGGGGAGGGGGGTTCTCAGAGCATCATTCTTAGAGGATACCATCCCACCCAAGAGAAACTGCATGCTCCCCTTAAGCGGCTTTCATGAACCTGGCCACCTCAAGATCTCTGTCACTACCCTCTCTAGCTGTCCTACATCACAGAACACTTTCCAACATGGAGTCCAAACAGCAGCATAGCCAGGCAGCACTGTGCCTTCTTCCCTGAGGTTGGTGATCCATCCTCTCTGCCTTGGTCTATAATCGTTGCTTCACCTGCCTGTCGGAGGAGCACCTCACCCCTTCCTAACCTGCAAGCCTTCTGAGTTCACTGACATCAAGGCATTTGATAACAACTCCCCTAAAATTCTTCAGGGCAAGAGTAGTGTGATGTAGACTAGATGTGGCTGGAGTCAGTCCATGACGGAAAAAACCTAGGTGGGCTGAATTAAAATCCCTGCCCACTGAACAAGTTGAAAGCTGCCTGTCTTTTGCACCTCATCTTTCCCACTTCTCTCTCTGACTTTAAAGCAGCGTTCATCCAGACAAGTGCACAGGTTCAGGCAGGTGTATCAGTGAATTATTAGAAGATGAATCTTCCCATAATTAAGAAATAGGATGCATGGCGCTAGAGAGAGGGCTCAGCAGTTGAGAAAGAGTACCGCTCCTACAGAGGTCCATCCTCAGCATGCACATCTAGTGTGTCACAGCCGCCTATGACACAGGGCCTGGAGGATCCAGCACTGGCTTCTGGCTCTCATGGGCACTCACTCACAAGCACATACCCACCTCCAGAAACACAGATGCTTTATTTTTAATAAAATGTGCTTTAAAGAACTGGGATACAGGCCTTGAGGTGTGTGTCAGCGTAGACCATTTGTCTGGAATGTGCAAGGCCTTAGAGCCCATTTCCAGCACTACTAGTGTGAGTGTGTGTGTGTGTGTGTGTGTGTGTGTGTGTGTGTGAGAGAGAGAGAGAGAGAGAGAGAGAGAGAGAGAGAGAGAGAGACTCACTGACCTTATCACCATCTCCTCTGGTACTAGCCTATTTCCAGCACTCAGTTCAGTTTTGCCTGCCACTTGAAGTGGAATTGTGCAAGGTTCAGTCTTTTATGCCTGACTTCTCTCTCCCAACCTCATGTGTATGAAAGTCACCGTGGGGTTGGGTGTAGATGCAGAGTGCTTATTACGTTATTGTGTCATATTCCATGGTACACCTTTCACGACAAAGCTCCACTCCAAAGCAGATTCTGTCCCCATGGTTTTGTTTGTTTGTTTGTTTTTGATTTTTCGAGACAGGGTTTCTCCGTAGCTTTTTGGTTCCTGTCCTGGAACTAGCTCTTGTAGACCAGGCTGGCCTTGAACTCACAGAGATCCACCTGCCTCTGCCTCCCAAGTGCTGGGATTAAAGGCGTGCACCACCACCGCCTGGCCCCATGTTTTCTTATTGGACATGATAGACATGCACATGCCTGGCCATTTTGTGCCAGAATCAAAACTCAGGATGTTCTCCTTTGGTGGATGCACTTGGCTAGATAATAAGGTGTCGTGGGAACCAAATTCAAAGTAGAACTACTTCCGTTCACAGTTCACAGTATCCTCTGGATTGGTACCCGGGGAGGAGGCAGCATTCTTCTTCAGGAATTAACAGCTGATCTTGGAGCCTCCCTCACACCAGCCTGTATCCCCTCTCTGGTCCTAATTAGGAGCTGTTTTGGCTCAGCTTCTTCACCGGAAAACTTTCTGGGGTTAACAGAAGTGAACACAGGAGAACTAGAGATTTTCTCGACATAGATCTCACTACGATGGGCAATCATGGCAGAAGTCCACAGAGAAGGGTTTCTGAAGGTCCAAATGTGTCTCAGCATGTCTCGTACTCTAAATATCCACCGTGTGCCGTTCCTTAATCTCATTTTCAGACCAAGTCTTCACTCACTGCCCTTTCCAGAACTTCTGAAGTGCTTCTGCCAAGGGTTCTCCTTGGGCCTGATGTCCCACCTGAGGGGGACAGGTGACTTGGGTAGTTAGGAGTTCCCAGATAAGTTCGCAGATATTTGTCACTAGCTAACTCGGGTTACACATCGCCTCCGGCCAGTGAGGGTGGAGCGTTCACCCATGCTTGAGCGCCGGGGCTGCTGTTTATGAGCATTTCCAAGACTCACGGAAGCGTGGCCACCCTGAATGTTGTGCCTGCGCTGGAAACTTTTGACCCCTTCCCCAAGGTCACAAAACCAGGTGCAAATATTGGATTTGCAGGTAGGTGAGCCTTTAGGGAGGTCAGCCACCCAGAATATGGGAGCACACGGAACCCAGGTAGGCACAAGTCACAGGTGACAGTCCAAGGCCTATGTTCCCACTGCCAATGTGACAGGCTGAATCGCTTCAACAACTCCTCACATGTGCCACTTCCTGTTGATAGAAGCTAGGTGCCCCGCCCTGTCTTGCCCCGCCACTGCCACCACCACCACCAAGCACACGCACTCACAGACACATGTGCCTTGCTCTCCACTTACCATGAAGCCTGGTTTCCTCAATTGTACCTGGGAAATGAAGAATTCAGGATTAAGATGAAGGGTCCGAAAGATGGAAAGACGCCCCAGGAGTTAAGAGAAGCTGCTTGTGTAATTGTGAGGTCCAGAGTTCAGATCCCAGGACCCATATTCCAAGCTGGGTATCCTTCAAATGCTGCAAAACTCTGGCATTGAGTGGACCGCTAGCTCTCTGTAGCTGGCCTGAAAACTGCAATCTCCAGGTTCACAGAGAGACCCTGCCTCAAAGGTAAAAGGTGAGAATCTTACAGTGGAGAACACCTGACATCCTCCTATGGCCTACATATGTACCACGCACACATGTGCACACACACAAACACACATTTTTAATTAAAGATCTGCAATCCCAGCACTCAGGAGGCAGAGGCAGGCAGTTAGAGTCATGTGACAGCCCTCACAGCCCTAAGTCCATGCATAGTTGTCTTCTCCCCCTCCCCCACACCACGCCACTGACCTCACACTAATGACCTTCCCTCTGTCCCTCTGGTTTCAGGTGTTCGCCTACGTGGTCACTCTGCTCTATGTGATCCATGCCGTGTTTTCCTTAATCAGATGGAAGTCTTCATAGGACAGCAGATCGGGAGCTGGAAACCCAGATGTCATTCACTGATCGTCCCAACTCCCCATTAACTTCCTAGAGCACAGACACCGTGGTGGAGAAAAGAAAACAAGCCAAAAAACAAACAAAACAAAAACAAAAGGAAGCCATGTTCTGTTTCTCTTGGGTGTCATGTTTACCTTCTGTCAAGGGTTTAGGGCTTGCTATGTTTAACCTCCAGCTGAGGGAGGAAGGAGCTGTCTTGCCAGGGCCCTTTCTGCCCTGAACAGGGACAGCGGGTGGGAACTGGGAACCTTGATCTGAAGAAATGACGATTTTCCCCTTGACCCTTGGAGCATGTCTTAAGAATTGCCTCCTGGAATTTTCCACAGGCTCTGGAGAGCATTTGTCTCCAGGCACATCTTAGGCTTTGTGCATAGTCTGAGTGTCGCAGGGATGGAAATTCTCTGTTGAGACCCAACAGAGGTCTCCAGATGCTCATGGTGGAAGATGAGACCCTTTGAAATACTCCATTAAACACCTTCTATCTCATGCTTCAAGAGTACAGGGGCGACAGGGGTTGTTTTTTATTCTCTGGAATCAGGGACACCTTCCAGTCAACTTTTTCCCTACAGAATCCTTTGACTTCACCTGTGTCTCCAGGGACAGTTGTGCATTCTAGTCTAGCATGACTCGCTGAGGGTCACATAGTGTCTGCCCGGATAGTGGTTCCTTTGTAGGGAGATCCCAGGAGCTCCATCTTTTTCTTTGAAGACACGGTAGTCTGCTCAATTAGAATTTTCTCAAGCCCTGAGAAAACTAGCTACAGGCATTTCTTCCCTCTCTTTGTAAAGCCGGTCTAAAATGCTCCATCTGGGTATCTGTGGTCTCTGATGTGTTCGGGCACGTCTTCAGACCACTCCCTGGGGGAAGAAAGGGACCAGACTGCAGAGTGAAGGGATAGATAATGACCATTGGTGGCTGCCATATTCCAGTTTTAGGACACTGGACCTAAAAGGAGGAAGTATTTATCATTAGGAAGGACTGGAAAAATCTGTAAAGTCAGGTTCCCCACTAGGAGATCTCACCTTGACCCCATTGTGACAGTGTAGAGATGGAGCCCCAGATACAGGACTCTCCTGCCAGTCTCCAGGAGAGCCAATATTCTAGCCTCAATCAGAAGGTGTAACTAGCTAACGTCTTGTTCTCCAACAAAGTAGGAGATGAGCACTGCAATTAAATTGGATTTAGGAATGTTTCTACCTTAGCTGTGATGATGGAACCCAGGGCCTGTGCATGCTGGGTAAACACTCTACTGCTAAGTCACACCCTCCGCCTCAAATTGGGTCTTAATGGCACATCCAGGAGGACTTTTGTTATTCCAGCATCACTGGTACCCAAATCTGCCATTTGCCTACTTAACACAGTCAAAATTTCATAGTAAACCACAAGTAAAAGACTAGGTTGGGGATTTGTTTTTAAAATTTTAAATACAAACTAAGAGATGATATGAAGTTCATTGAGATGTTTAACAAAATCTGAAGCTGTGTTGACTGGAGAAGTCTTATATTTTCAACAAAACTGTACTGTAACATTATACTAACCAGCAGCTCAACATGAATGAGGATCACGTTTTCACAGGAGGGTGGAAAGGAGAAAGGGAGCAAAGGAGAAAGGAGGAAGGAAGGGAGAAAGGGGGGAAGAAGGAAGGAAGGAAGGGCAACTGAGATGGATTTCCCAAGAGTTTCTCAATGTTTCAGATTTTTAATCATTAAAAGAAACTTTCATACAATTGTTCTCTCTCTTTTTATTGGAAATTGTTGTAACCATAGAAACCTGGATTAAAGAACTTGAGGATGGTTCTAACATAATTCATGCTTTCTATCCTGGGCCTGTAAATCTTTGCAGTTTCTTTTCTTAATCTTTTATTTATTCTTTGACAGTTTCACACATGTATACAATGTATCTTCATTATATCCACCCCCAACTCCTCCCTTCCACTCCGAACACATGCCCCGCCCACCTTCTTGCCCCTGCCCTCTTAGCACACTGAATCCGGTTCATGCTGCCTGGTGGAATGCTGACTGATCTTGGTGGCTGGCTCTTGTTCAGGTCTTAGCTGTAGTGAGTTCGTGAGCGCTAAACTCATCCTCTGCCTCTAAGAGCTTTTCTGTCATCTTCCGTTCCCTGAGCCTTGGGGTGGGGGTGTTGACAGAGATGTCCCATTTAGGGCTAAGCATTCAGCAGTCGCTTATTCTTGGCACTTGGACCAGCTGAGAGTTCCTGCATTAACATGACGCCTACTTCTGAAATTTACAAGTTTCTTTCCCATTGGAATCACAATGCCATGTTGGAACCCTGAAGAAATGGGGTGAGCATGTTTTCACCTCCCCCAGATCCACTCCCCCACCGCTTACTCTAACCTGCTCTCTGCCTTCTCCTCTCTCCTCCCAGGGCCCAGGGTTTGCAGGTACAAGGGTCTGCTGAGAGCAACCATACCTCCTGGGCTCTGCCCTTTGGGGAATCCACCATACCCAAGAGGAGCAGTGTGAAGAAGCTACTGGGAAGAGCCAACCAGATGCTAGCTACACCAGACAGGCAGCAGCCAAGCTCCCGTGTGTGGCTCCATTCTCTTTTCAAATGAAGGCTGTCTAGCCGACAAAGACTCACTACTACACGGCACACAACACATTTGTTATGGGATCTTGGAGAAGAGGAAACCTCTTTTGAGGCAATACTTTGGTGTTATCCTAACCAAGGGCAAGAAAACATTCTTGCTTGGCCTTAGGTCAGGTATTAAGAACACCCCAGTTCTCACCTGAATAGCCAGCCATCTTGATGGTCATCTTTTGAACTATTACCTGGAGACAGGCAGCCCTGAAAGCACCTTTCATATATATACAGTCTCCTGCCACCCTCCTGGTTGCCACAGGTGATGGCCTCTATATTATTCCATAGGTGAGGACCCTGAGACCCACACAGTGGTGGCACAAGAATCTGTACTAGTCCTGCTGGTCCTGGGTCCCGAGCTTGACTCTTCTCCTAGGCCACAAAGACACCAAAGACCTGTGTCCCCCCCCCTTTTTTTGGTTTTTCAAGACAGGCTTTCTCTGTATAACAGCCCTAGCTGTCCTGGAACTCGCTCTGTAAACCAAGTTGGCCTCGAACTCACAGAGATCTGCCTGCCTCTGCCTCCCGAGTGCTGGGATCAAAGGTGTGTGCCACCACCACCCACACAAAGCCCTGTCCTTATGCAGGAAAGTGACAGTGAGATCTCATGGCCAGGATGGTGGTGAGCAGAGGACAGTAGTGGGGAATGAAATTGGACGTTAGGGACAATGCCAGACCACCAGTAGGTCCCAAAACAAGGGACATGAATGGACATAGGTCATGGACTCAACCAGCTCAAAACAACTTAGTTACTGTGAGCTGCTACACCATCCCTGTGCCAGCTTTGGTGTCTCCAGGGTCCACAGTCCGTGGATGCTGCAAAGGAGATGAAGAACTGGTAATTCTTAAAGCTGAAACCTAGGGGCTGTGGCTGTAACTCAGCTGGTAGAGTGCTTGCCTAGCCTGCTTGAAGCCCTGAGCTCATCCCTTCATCAGCACCACGTAAACGATGGGTGGTGGCACACTCCTGCGAGCCTAGCACCAGAGACAGGCAGGACGTCCGAGGTTCATACCATCCTTGGTGACAGAGCGAGTTTAAGGCCAGCCTGGGATACTTGAGGCCCTGTCGCTAACGGAAAAAAACAAAACAAAAACAAAAAAGCTAATTGGATGAGGGACATGGATTTGTGGGTAAAAGCTCTTGCTAAAACAGCCTGGCAACCTGGAACACATGTAAAAAAGGCAGAAGCAGTGGTCCACGTCTGCAATCTCGGCACACCTATGGGAAGATGGGAGGAAGAGGAGGAGGAGACAGGAGCAGAGGGCCAGCAAGACTGGAGTTTACGGTGCAGCAGCAGAAACAGCAAGGAACTCTGCCTCAGCAAGGGGGAAGGCAAGAAGTATCTTCCACATGTGTGTGCTTGCATGTGCCCATCTCTCTCTCTCTCTCTCTCTCTCTCTCTCTCTCTCTCTCTCTCACACACACACACACACACACACATACACACACACAAATACAAGTAAATTTTAAAAACATTTCATCATCACAAAGAACAAACAGAATCTCCTCCATGGTCCTAAGGAAAGATTAAGAAGCAGCCAACTGGCAGAAGAGACCAAGCCAGAGTCCCCACTGGGATATTCACCAAGTGTGGGCCCAGCTGAAAGAGGGGCCACTGCTCTCCACCTCACGCGAGGGTCCATGGAACAGCTGGGCTGAGGGCTCACTGCTCAGGCCTCCTCCTTCCCGGTCAGCTCCCATGAGCTCACAGGAACATTCAGTGTTTGGCAGATACCAAAAGGATCCACAAATATGACTGCATGCGTGAGCGCTCTGGGCAGCTGCAGCCAGCTCATCTTCATGCAGCCTGTTGCCAGCGTCTAGGGAAGTGACAGAGAGGAGTCCCTGTGGTGGCTGTGTCCAAACAGGCAAGGGCTTCTGGAAATTTGGGGAAGCCGTGTGGAACCCTCTGGCATGGGTTGGACCTGATAGTGAGGCTGTGAGTTAATACACTCCCTCCTCTCTTGCCTTCTGTAGCCCCGGAGACAACTCCATGGAGCTGGCGACTAGGAATGCCAGTATGGAAGAGGGTGGACATGGGGCCAGGCCCTTAGCAAAAGGCAACATGTGCCAAATCTATCCAGGACGCTGGCACTCTTGCCTGTGACTTCTCTGTCTTTGTTTCTCTTTCTGATGATCTCCTAGGAAGGGCAGGGTGTGTGGGAGGGGCTTCATCACATGCAGTCCTTTCCCCTGGAGGCCAGCCTCTGACTTCACATTCTGCACACAGTAGGTTCAATTAGACAAGCCTGTGAGAGACCACTTCCTAGGAGCTGAGCCCGGTAAAGGCATCTGCGTGGGCACCCCTCAGGAATCGGCCTGGTTTTGCACAGCAGCCCCAATAGAGGATGGAAGTTCCCCCCCCCCAACCCCCCCCGCACGGGCCTTAAAGAGACAGCAAAGGGTTCGTGCTGCCAGCCGTGGGCTGGAGCAAGCATGCCTTTGGGGCTCCACAAGGGCCTTTTGTTCCCAGAATCAATTGGGGCCACTATGGGGTCACAATGGAAGCCTTTCAAAGAGACAAAGCGCCTCTGGCCTGGCTAAGTGTCCTGCACACGTGGGCATCTGCCCAGAACATTAAAAATAACACAATTTGAAAAAACAGATTTAAAGTGTACAATCTAGTGGCCTTTGTTCTGTGTCTTCCATGTGCATTGGCCTTTGTTCCATGTCTACCACAAGCAGTGATGGCGGACAAGAGCTGGGGTGCTGGGGGCGACACCAGGGCTCCCAGCTGGGACCTCTCGCCTTTGTCTTAGGTAACTGGGTGCATGCACAGTGCCAGGCTCACTGGAGGACCCAAAGAGGTCTGTCTGTGCACTGATGCCAAATGAGAAGAACCACCCCTGCTTGGGAGATGCCAAGGATGCTGGGAGCCTCTCGCATCTTTATTTGATCTTGATTGCACAGGCCAGCCTGTGCCCTTTCTGGTGCTGTTACTGGACCAGGACAGTCAACTGTATAAGGGAAAAGGTTTGCCTTGGCTCACCACGTCCAAGGTTTCAGTACCCAGTAATCTGTCGGCCTGCCTCTTTGGCAGGGTCCATGTTGGCATAGCACATGATGGGCAGAGCCCATGATAGAACAGCTTTCCCACGGGCACAGCCCTCAGGGCCTTCTGTCCATTTGGCTCTACCTCTGGAAGCCTCCACTATGTCCCCAAACACAAGAGGATGGTGACCAAACCTTCAACATGTGGCTTTTGAGAGACAGTCGAGATTCACATCACTGGGATAAGAACTCTGAGGTATGGAGAGATAAAACGATATGTCTGTGGTTTGTCATACCAACGTCTCATCCCAAGAGGGTCCCCACCTTTCTGGAAACTGGGACCCTAGATATGTCATGCTTATGACAGGTTTCACTAATGCCAAAGGCTCTAAGTGGCACATGAGTAACGGCAAGCACACAGGAACCCAGCCCGTCTATAGGTGAGTCTCAGATGAGGGACACTTGATTCCTCTCTTGGTCATGGAGAGAAGTCTCACAAGCTTCCAGGGATCTGAATGCTCTCAGGAAAAGGTAAAGTTTGGCTCTACGGAGAAGCAGATCTTGTAGGCTGCCCGCTGGGCCAGGGTGGTAATGCCAGGCAAGAGGTTGAGCGGAATTTGTGAACTGGCAGCTGGTAGAAGGGTGTGGCCGAAGACCTGGGTTCCTGAACTGGCCCAAGAGAGTGACCTCCCTCTCAGCTTCATTCCCTGACTGCAGAGTTAGAATGTTAACTGACCTGTAAGGTGTCAGGAGGATTTGAGAGCTTGGTTCAGTCAAGACCCAAAACCAAGGAAGGCTCCATATGTACTTGATGGAACATATGAAGAGGAAGATCTGGAACATTCCTGAAGTTTCTAGCTGGACATATGACAGTTATTTGCCTTGTTAGCCATGTTCTTGATATACTGTCATAAATTTGGATGATAACTATTGCCCCCCCCTCAGAAAATAACATCATTTACTATAGCTTCACTTCAAAAAACCAACACAGTCTTCTCCTACCAAAACCCTTTGGCCACCTAGGGAACTGTGCCAAGAGAGCCTCAGGGTGTCGAGGTCACTGGGACAGACCTAAGCCACCCTAAAGTCCCCAACAGGAGAGAACAGGCTTGAATAGCTAGACTCACCAG